GACGAGTGGGTTAGGATAGAGGTGGCATCTTGGTTGAGGAAGGAGTCGACAACATCACTGTGTGCGGTTTGGCCCTAACAGAGCGTCGACTAAGAAGAGGTGAGGGAGTGCATGTCGAGTTTGACTGGAGGAGTTTGGTCTAGTCGATCTGTATCGTGCGAAGGAGGAGCCCGAGTCATGAAAAGGAGGAGGCCGATTGATGTCCCGTTCTCCAGATATTTCCTGAGGCGCTTTTGCTTCAGCTTCTCAAAGCAATTCTGCATCCAGATGCTGAGGCACGTGTGGGCGCTCATATGATATTTTCCGTTCTTCTTATTCAATTAGTACGAGAACTGTCCAATTTGATTTTCAATATTCCTTATGGCTTTAGCTTGACTATGTAATTGGTTTCACAGTTGTAATATAATCTTTTCTAAAAATGATTTCTTTTTCTTAGGTTGGGCATGTGAAGTGAATCAATGTGGTTAAGGTTGTCTCTGGTTATTACCGCCTATCTAGGTTACAATTTTCGACTGTGAATATATCTATTTCACTAGGCTATTGTGTGTTAACTTCTTTTTCTAGGCAAAAATTAGAAGTCCTAGTTCATAAGAAGTTTTAACTACCTAATTGACCAAATTAGAAGTAAATGACGATCAAAAAGTTAACACATTAGCATGCATAGTTCAAAAGCACAAAAACGTTAATTGAGAAAAACTCGATAAAACATCAAGAAAAACTACTCTTTTATCACAGGAGCATGAACATAGGTTTAGTTACGAGACATGAGAGAGAAAAGCATGACGAATTTTATTGAAATGATTAAAGATATAAGTGCAAGAATGTACAAACTTACAATCAACAAAAGTACATTCAACAATTACCAAATCCTCACCATACAATGATCAACTCTCCACAATCTCTTATAGACAACACTAAATCTCTCTCTCATACGAACACTCTAAAAACTCAAAGGAAAAACCACAGTAGAAGTTCTCTCCCCAAAGGAAGAAGATAACCCTTAGGCTTTGAAGTAGAAGCCTAATTCTTGTGGAAGAGAGCCTCCAAAGCCTAGCCCCCTCTCCTAGGGTGTCACATGCATAGCCTTATATAACACTTCCCAATTTTTTCCTTGAAATTTCTCGCAAAACAAAATTGGTTGGGATGCGGCATGACCACGCCCTAACCTAGCATAATCATGCCTAATTCGATGTGTCCACGCAGAAGGCTAGCGTAATTATGCTAGACCAACAACAAGCCTGATGTAATTACAATATATTCTAGCATTTTTACACAAGTTCAGCTCTGTAGCTAGCTTCGTGTTTTAGCTCCTGAAGTACGTTCGACCTTTTAACCTGCAAAAAGACAAAAATAATCTTTCACTGGTGTAAAAATGATGATAAATAGGGAAGAAAACACTATAATTCTAGTGGTAAAAAAACATAAATTTCCCTTATGTTAGGGAAGAAGTGTGGATTCATCTAGTTTTGAAAGCTCCACCTTGTACACACACAATCACTCCCACGAGTCAAAGAAAAAAAAGAATTGTCCATCGTGTGAACGTTGCAAGAAACTTTGTCACACAAAATACAAGTGCTGGAAACTATATGGAAAATCTACATATTGGAAACCAAGGGCAAGTGAAGAAAGACCAGGACCGCCACAACCATGCTGCTACCTCTTCTAAAGGGCCGGCCAACCATAGCCCCTCACCAAAGAACAACTAGAGGCGTTGAAGAAAATTCTTTCGAGCATAACTAAGCAACCTACCTGCTTGATGATACACAAATTTATCATGTCCTTTCATGCTAACAATGAAAGATTTTGACTCTGGATAATAAATTCAGGTGCATCTAATTATATGATTGGAGATATTCATACTCTCACCAACTCCAAATTTGTTAAACTTACTGATCTTACTCTAAGATTGTTGGGAAAGGAAAAGTGAAAGTCTCCAAAAATATTCAACTTCTATACTATATGTTTCCCAATTAAATTTCAACTTTTAATTAACAAGCTTATACATGACTTGAATTGTGTTATTAAATTTATTCTAACTCATTTGAATTTCAGGTGGTGGATACGACAAAATGATTGACAGTGTTGAATTGCAACAAAGTCTATACTTGCTTAAAGAAAGTCATTCTCGTAACACAAGTGTTTTCTTCACCATTATCTTTCTTTGTTTCTGAGTTTGTTGAAAGTCTAGTTTTGTTTTGGCATTGTCGTCTGGGTCATCTCAATTTTCATTATGTTGCAAAGTTGTATCTTTGTCTCTTTATTAATAAAATGTCCGATTTTTTTTTAGTGCGAGACCTGTCAATTGGCTAAACATACTCTTCATGTCTATTCTTTGTCTCAGTCAAACTCTTATAAACCATAGTGACATTTGGGGACATCAAAATTGAAAACAATTAATGAAGCCAGATGGTTTGTCTTCTTTATTGATGACTACACTAGAGCTAGTTGGATATCCCTCATGAAGGAAAAATTTGAAACTGCACAACTTTTTCAATCCTTCCATAATATGATTTTCACTCAGTTTCAATGTAAAATTCAGAATCTTAAACTTGATAATGCAAATGAATACTTTAACTCTATTCTTGGATCAGATCTTGCAATGATTGGTATCATCTATATGAGTTCTTGTGTTGAAACTCTATGACAAAATGAGATAGCTGAGAGGAAGAATAAATATATTCTCGAGATATTTAGGTTTATAATGCTTTCTCACAATATCCTAAAATGAGATCTTGCAGTTGGCTTCCAATCGAAAACTCTACTAGGCACATCCTGTCAATGCTTACCCAATTTTCCTTCTTCAAGCACCTTAGAGAATATGGTTGGAATGCTTCTAAGACATGAGGTTTAATTTCTCCATCATTTGCGTAGATGCCATGTGCTTTCTGCCCCCTTTATCGATGTGAGTTTGCATACATTTTCTTTCATAGTACAACAAGTGTAGAATACATTATGGCGAAGCCACTGTGGCTCCCTCATATTCTCAGTCTGTAGGACCAATCGAACCACGAGCATCTCGCCCTCATCCAGTGGAAAAGGGTACACCTCTCCTTATTCTTCAGTTGACTCTTCGTCGCTAACCCCTAACATTGCACTCTACTTGGTAAATGATACAACTCAACTCCTTGTGCAACTAGAGGCGGTGTGCCAAAATCTTTGACATCCGAAGCACTTTCGGGCTAGGACTATAGTGGGCATGCCGTTCTTCTTGGGTTTCTTCTCACTTTGAGTTGTTTTTTCCTTTTCCTAAACGGTCTTCTCAACTACTTGAGGCATGCTCGCTCTTGCTGATGTCCCCCACTTTAGGTGGCTGTGTGAATGGTGGTGGTTGTCTGCTCTGTTTCTGCTGTCTCTCTACCTTCAAGGTTAAGGTCTGGACATCCGCCAATGACCAACAGAGCCGTAGTTGCAGAACGTTGTTGGTAGCGGGCTTTAGTTCTCCAAGATATTGAGCTATGGAATGTTCCCTTGGTTCGATCAACTCACATTTCACTTGCGGCTGATGAAACTGTGTCGTGAACTCTTCCATTGATAGGTTTCTCTGCTGCTAGTGATGGAGTCTCGTAAATATATACCGGCAGCAGTGAGACGGTAGGTGTTTTCTTTGCATTTTCTTTCTCATCTTTTCCCATCTAATAATCTTGTCACAACCCTCTCTCTTTATTTGTCTCTGCAAATTTTTCCACCACAAGGAGGCACTCTATTTCAACTTGATGACTGCTAGTTTCAACATTTTATCTTATGGCACGTACTCAAGATTCTCACAATTAGCTGTAGTCATTCGATAAAATCATCTGGATTCTTACCTCCATCAAACTTCGGTGGGTCCACTATGATTTTGAAATCTCTCTGTCCTCCATACGGTGCCTCCTCTAATAATGAATTCCAAAGGGACGGAGTAGGGAGGCAACAATCACCTGGAAGGGACCCAAAGGGGCGTCACTAGCAAGGTGAATACACGGGAAAGGGCATCAAGCAGGTAGGTGGGAGGGAGCCTGCGGCAGCAGGTAGGGTTAGGTGGAGGGGATATGCGAAGGATAATCATCGTCTTGGAGCGAGATACAACCAAAACACCACTTGTCCCAGATACAACCCTAAGAGGGAAAACAGTGGGATGTCGACAGCTGTCCTGACAGCAAACTCAACAAAAACTAACGCTAAACATGTATTGCTAACATTAATTTTTTGAGCTGTATTTAGTTTTGACCATACATTTTCTTGTGAGATTGATTTCTGATTTTCTTGAGCTCATTGGAAGTATATAGTGTCTCTTTCTGTTGTGAAACCACGTGCAATTAGTTTGTGCGAGTTAACTTAGCATGAAGTAGCTTTGTATTCTATAAATATCCCCATTTAGGTTGGAAACATGAAAACAATAAATGAATTTTCTCTTTCTTATCACTTCTCTTTTCTTTTTTCTTTTGCAAACTCTGAACAGTTAAAAATGCTCGATTAGTATCAAGAATCCTATCGTTTTCTCTCTCTCTCTCTCTCTCTCTCTTCCCTTGTACACATAGATAGCCTAGAGAGTTGGATTTGTTCTTCAGTGTTTTTATTTTATACTGTCTTATACTGGCAAATGTGCTATCTTGAAGTATGTTAAAATTTCTGATATTCGTAGTAGCAATAAAATAAAAGAAAAAAAAAACAATTAAAAGAAAAATCAATAGAGGTGATACTAGTTGCTTGGATATTAATAAAATTGGTTCACTTCTTATCTGCACACATTCATTTGCCTTTGTTCATGCTATCACTATATAGATCCATTTCAATTTTTTTCCTATAACTGAAGATAACGATCACCGCCATAACATCAGTCACAGAAGTTGTGTTCAGTTTTAGTTTACAACAGAAAGTCCATTATATTCTGCTTTTTAAATTCTTTTTAGACGTGACTGTTAATGATACTAAATACACAATGGACCCATATGCTATACGTATTCTGAATTTCAATCTTCTTTGTAACCGCAACTTTATAATTTTTGTAATATATAATTCAGGCATTTACTGGAAATATCAATGGGGAGAGTGCCAAAGAATCTGATCAACATATTCAAATTCATAGAAGGTAAGCTAGCTTAGCTTTCAACTGCTCAAGATAATCACTAAATTTTGACTCTTATGTCCATTTATTTTTTTAATTCTTTTGGGCATTTACATACATACCACACAATTTTCATGTATTTATATATGTAGCACCTAAACTTTGATTTTTATATTTATGACCCAAGTCTTTCATATCATATACAAAATTCCATTATTACTAACTTTCAAAGCGTGAAATACACCTTCCCTTGTACAAGTGCTATAAATGCAATAAATTGAATTTTAGATATTGGATATGCAAATACAAAGGAATTGTGTGGTATATATTTAAATCTTCCTAATTATGAGTATTAACAGTATCGCCCTTCATTGCAGGACGAAGTTTCTAAGATCTCCCAGGTTACCAGTCAAAGACCCATCACTTTTTTGCCTGGAAGTTATCACTAAAAGCCATAAACCTTGTTTATCAGCCCTCAGAGGCACTCCTAAAGGTAATACATTATCAAATTAAATGTTTTTGGGAGTTTAAACCTTCCAACTACAAATTGGGAGTGTTTTGAGTTGTAAATTTTTCCTGCTTTAAGTAGAAGAAGCTCTAAAACATTATTCAAGGCGATAAAAGATTCATTCGCAAAGTGTTCACAGATTAAAATGTACGAACTTGTTCATGAAGGTCGTCGGAGAACCCTCGTTATTATTAATGTATCTTCATTCATTGCATCTTGATTAATGGGTATTGTAGGGAAACATTGATAAGCTGACAAGGTTAGTGATCTACTAGATTAGATAATTAGGATTGGCATTGAGGTGTTTATGGATGACGAAGGTGTTGCTATTAGAAGGCTTATTTGCAATAGATAAATTAGTGTCTTGGTATGAGTATCTTGCATGTCTCCTTTCTTCAACAGAGGAATGATCTCAAAAAATTCATAAGTGATTATAGGGAAAACTCATTAATTTAAGGTGCAAAATGGAGAGTAAATATATCAACAGCTTGTGAAAAAAATTATCTACAAATTGAGTTGGCTACTTAATTTTGAACAAGAAGACTTGAGAAAGAGAATGACAACAATCAATTAAATGACATGCCAAAAATTTTATAATGCTTTAATCATGTGATCTTCCTCCACTACAAGATTGACAAAAAAGCTACTCTGGTCTAAGGAAAGATTATCAGAGGCATACAAGAGAGTGAGAATTCCTTTACAAATGCTTTCTCCTTTAAAAATATAAGAAAAATAAAGAAGCAAGGGTGAGATTTTTCCCCTGGATGGTCAAAGGGCTTGATGTCGTGGACTCTCTTTTGTCATAATCCTACTATGTCTCCCCCGTATGCTTATGCGTGCCTTTATTCATGCACCCCTTGTGTCTCCCAAGTTTCTCTCACCTCTCCCTTTCGAAGGAGATCCTCTAATACTGTCCTGTCTTTGGCATCAATGTTAGGCATTAAAGATGGAATAATGGATATGTGAATGTGGATATGGCTTACAATGGTCGCAGTGGCAAGGGGTTAAACATTGTTGAAAGAGATAATTTCATAAAAAAATACATCTTAACAGATTGTCTTGTTTTGAAGCATGATGTAAACTTGGGCTATTAGTGCCAATTTCCTTATTTGCATGTTTGTGCTGTTAAGTAAGAAGGAGGGTATAGGTATACCATGGTCCAATAGGGCTGGTAAGGAAGAGGCTAGGAAGTATTATCCGTATGATGTACTAGTAACACAATAGATGTAAGAAATGAGACTTATAGCTTTATCTCATGAACTCAAGCATGCCCAGAGAAGATGTCAAGAATGAGACTTACAATTTGATTGCATGTGTCCAAGAAGACTTGAGCTATCTTCCCAATATGATAGTAAATATAAAAGTTTGGACTTACATCATGTCTAGGAATGCCAGCTAACCACAACCTTGTGTCACTACAGAAATGCCCATGATTACTAGCTAAAAAATCAGCCTATAATCTTATAATTTTCTGACGGAAAACATGATTAATGCTTGATTATCGGATGAAATGGTACCGCCGCAAGAACCTTCATCACAAACAGTTTTCCAACTGAAAATGTGCGACGGTAATTTTTGCTTTTGATTATCCCGCCACAATATTTTTCGAATGAATTTATCTGCTGCAAAATTAATGTCTGATTTCGAGAAAAAAATTGCGTACGTCAAGCGTACGCAGGAGTTACGTATGTAAAAGGGTACAGGGGGTTACACGAGGATTACAAGGGGTTATAACCCCGTTGTATCTCCCGTGTAACCCCGCTGTAATCTTGTAATCCCAATGGATAAAATAAAAGTGCGGGTTACAGGTGAGTTACACGAAAGTTACAAGGAAGTTATAACACGCTTGTAACCCACGTGTAACCCTCGTATAATGCCCGTGTACCTATTACGTACACATCTCTGCGTACGATTGACGTACGCAATTTTTTTCCCTGATTTCGCGTCTAAAATATTTGGTCAGTTTATTGTGTTGTCAAATATATATACATAATGAGTATTATTTTTAAATTATTTAATTGACTACAACACTACAAAGATTTATAATCAATTCAAATTACTAATTAAAAATAGAATAAAATATATTAAATTCTATTTAAATGAATATTTAATATAAATAACAAGATTTAGATCTTGTCATACACTTAACATTTTACGGTTGTGTGATTAAGGTTGTCAAAATAGCTCATTGTTCGTGACTAACTCGTGTTCGGCTCGAAAAGCAAGCGAGACTTACACAAACAAATGTTTTGAGCACGATATATAAACGATTCGAACATGAACAATGATCTTTTTTACCAAGTCGAGTCTGGACTCGCTCAAGCTCGGCTCATTCGGTTGCATATATAACTAGGGTGTTTTTTGTTCGCGAATAACTCTTGTTCTGCTAGCTAAGTAAACGAACCGAACATGAACAAATTTGTTGTGTTCGAAAAATAAACGAGCCGAACAAGAACAGTGATAGGCTCGCTTGTGTTCGTCCCATTTACACCCCTTAGTTCTACTAAGAATGTTGGACCAAACAAACCAAACAAAAAAGTGGAAATCTGACCAAACAAAAAAGTGGAAATCTGAAAAAAAAAAAAATGGTTGGCATTTACATATCTAAGAGTTTAACTTTATTTTTTTTCATTTATAACACTCATCCCTAACATCACATTTTTAAAATGAATTATAAAAAAATAATGTAAAAAAGATGTAAATAAATAGTATATTTAATTATTTAATTATTTGGAGTCAAAACTAACTGAACACGGATGAACAAACTTTTACCCATATTCGATTTATTTTCTCACAACCCCACCCATAGCAATCAACTTACCCATTTGCAAGCGGGCCAGATCTGCATCATTTACCCATAAATTCTTAAGAAATTGTGTGTAATAAATATGCATTTTATATTATACAAGAGAGTTTTTTATAAATAAAGAAAAAATCATATAACAAAGAATGAGTTTCTAAAATTGTATCCCAAAATAGTTCTCTTTTGAGAGAAATGATAACTTTCATGCACAAAATTTCTTCTAACAATGTCCACAAATAGTCATATATATTTATTTCGCAAATAATATGCTAAAACTATTTTCTCTCGAGCTATTTCAACTCATTTATATTTTGAGAATTGTGGTATTTATCTTCAAAACTTTAGACTCTATTAGCACGAGTGCATCAACTTGGCATTCAATACGTGATATGTTTGATGAAAAGAAGGAATGTAAACATATAACTAAAATACACAATTTTTTGTATGCTTGGGATTTGATAACTCTTATAAAAAACCATAAAGACTAATATAAAGAAAAAGAATACCTCACGACAAAAACAAAAAGAGAAAGAGCGCTCGCTAAGTTTGTTAAAACCTAAACTTCGAAAACTATGAAAGAAGGACTAGGATACAATGAAGGGTGATTGCTGAAGAAAGCTTGCAAAGTAGCAAAACAAGGACAAGTTGTAATGTCTTAAAAGAGCTTTTGGGTGATATAAGTAAATATTGAATTTTTGAGCGACCTCCTTTTGATAACAACTTGACCATTAGTTAATTGATTGCGCGTGCTGATTTGAACTCACCTCTTTTATAGAATATTTTTAAATATTAATCATATTTATTGCAAAAGAATATCAAAGGGGTCATCAAATGTTGAAAAAAGTATGGGGATGAAGAAATATGGATATTTAAGAAAGGAAGATCCTAGTAATAGAGGAATATTTTTAATGTCTTTAAAAGGCTTTGGGTGATATAAGAAACATTGAGTTTTAGAGAAATTTCTTTTTAAGATCAACTTATCCATTAATTAGTTGATAACCTATCTAAAATTGAGCATTTTTGTAGAATATTTTTATAAAGTAATCATATTGAATTTGAATTAAGGTAAATTTCAAATAAAATGACCTCACTCAATATTAAAATAAAAAAAATATGTTTGATATATTTTATTTCAAATTGAATTTTCATTAATGTATAAATTCATTTATCCATTTATAATTTTAAAATATTTATGCATGTGAGGTGTATTTTTATGCTTATTGGAGTGATTTAAAAAAATAAAAAAAAATGTTGTAATCAAGTTATTTATTTGATTTGAATTAAAATTAATTTGAAGTTAATTAATCCTAAATACTCAAATCAATATCAAGTAAATTCAGCCAAAAACGATACATGATTGCCTCTCAGTTCTAAAAAAATTATTTGATTAAAAAAAGGATAAAATTGGAATATCTGAATTAAAAGTATTTGAATTTTAGTGAAGGGAACCAAAAGTATAAGGCAGTTTAAAGATATAAATAAGTGTAGAGCTCTGTTTATTAATTAATAATAACTACTAGTGATCATTGTGCCATTGCTCAACTAATATTGCCCATTGTGGTTGCCCAATCATCATTATCTTATTAATTGTCACTTGACTACTATCATTCCACGAATATTGATGTTTGTAATCACCAGATCACCATCATCTAATTATCATTGCTCTGATATTATTAACTGTCTGTCATTAATAGATTATAATTACCCGACGACTTCTTAACCGTCAATCTATAGATGACACTTACACCTACACACTAACATTTGTTTTCTAATAAGCACCATCAACCTTAATAATCGTTTCTCTTATATTGTTTCACATAATCAAATGTTAAGCTAGTGATTGAAGAAAGGAGCACATTTTATTTTCTTAATTACAAAATGGATTATTAAAATTATGATAGGCCTAATGATTTTTTTATCTTTCACAAATTTTCATGTAAATATTGGCATTTTCAATAGAAATTAGGATACAAATCTATGAATATTCAACGGACTTTAACTGAAAATGTTCAATTGCTTATCAATCGGCCCATTCCACCCAAGCCCGGCGCCAGCCATGAAGCTCCTGGCCTGCGTTCCCGCCATAAACCCTCTCCCGCCAAAATGTGCCATTACCCGCCAAACGCCCTCTACATAGCTATCCTTCTCCCGGTCCCTTCTTCTCTGCGAAACCCTAGCCTGTGTCCCTTCCCCTCTACCGATTTTGCCCAGAATCATCGCCTTCGTAATCAAACCCTCGCGATACAGTCACGTTTAGTGCTGGCTGGGAAGGCAACGGCGGGATCGCGGCCTGCTCCTACCCGAAGCCGTTGAATACCTAGCACCATCTGGTTTCTCAGGCGATATGGAGAAGAAGAAGATGACGCTAGCTTCTCCGCTCCGGAACAGGGTTTCATCGGCAGATGCATCTGGGTCAGAGGAGATCCCCACGCCGGAGAAGCCGGCAGAGCTTCCTCGGCGTGCCAGCAAACGGAGCTTGTCGTTTTCGGTCAGCGACGTGCGGAGGGTTGCCATGGGGTTGCGGATGACCAGAAATCAATCCGCGAATCGATCGGATCTTCTCAGATCTGCTGGCGAGCTGCGGCAGAAATCTCAATCATGCTGTGATTTGGGGGTCATGTCCTCAGCTGCTACAGACACAGCGAAGCTATCGGAAAAGTAGGTTTTTGAATTTTTGCCCGTTCTTTTAAGAGATTCTGCTGATGAATCTTTGTTTTTTATTTTCTCTTAAGGATTCCAAGTGAAAATTGAAGTTGAAATTGGGGTATTTTATTTATTTTCCAATTAAAGTGGTCGGATCGATCCATTCAATGAAACGATTCGAATTTCCATATTGTTCTTGTTTGATTTCTTCTCCTGGAAGATTTTTATCTTCTTAAAAGTCTCATTAGTTTTTAGTATGTTCTTCAAATATTTGGACTTAAATAATCTAATGGTTTATATGCAGTTATGAGATGCTGGCAGAGTTCTTCAATTGCCTGGACAGCTCAATCCGATTACTTCGGCTAAAAGGAGCATTGCCCACATTTACCAATATCAGTGCTAGCATACAACATTTGGCAGAGAGGTACTTTTTTTTATTGTTAAAAGAAAAAAAAATTATATTCTTAGTTTATAGCTCACAAAGTGATTGGATTATCTTCAAAGCAAAGTGCTGTAAATTAATCTTCTTTCTGCTTATTTCTGTATAGTTTGATTATTTCAGGAGATTTAGTTATAAACATTTAGCTCAAATGAAACATATCCTACCTGAAGCAATTTCAATTAAAAAGGTGCTTTTGCGTGATGAAGCTACCTGCTGCATGAAGCCAGAACTTCAAGTTTCCTTGCAACCAGATGCAGTGGAAATCAACCTGGAACTAAAAGGAGAGTGCTCATATTCAGCCTTAAGAAAACTTTTCAGAGCGAGGCTTGTCCAGTTTGCTAGAGAACATTCAAAGGTGGGGGTTCTCTGAATATATTTGATTGGCCTTCCTATTTACTTGTTAAATATTATGATTATTTACTGAAGAATTCTTATTTTTCCTGCTTTCAGGAAGCTGAAATTCCAGAAGAGACATTGCCACATCCTTTTGGTCACATGAAATCAAGCATGTCGACTGAAACCAATAAATTAGGCCCTTCTATGCCAACCGGATCATTGCCTGTTGCCCATCCTGCTGAAACTTTAACTAAAGTTTCACACTTTTCTCCAACTTTCCAGAGGAGATTTTCAGCAAGAACTTCATGTTCTGATAAAATCAGAACTCCTCTTGCTTCTTCAAATGACACTGCCACTAATGTTGATTCATTAGTCTTTAGTTTTCCATCGCCTGTTAAATTTTCTTCAATGCCTCCAATCCACAAAAGCTCACTGTTTTCTTCTCCTGGTAGAAGACACTTGGTGTCGAATCTTCAGCAAACTGAAGAGGATTCAAAAATGCTGACCAGTGCCCACAGCAGCATTCCAAGTGAAATATTATCTCTAGAATCCACTCCAGTTAAGGATGTTCTATCTTCTACTAGGCTAATGATGACAACTACACCAGAACTTCACACACCAAAGAGAAGTCTTAAATCCACAATCGATGATACTCCACAAAAGCCGCATGTGAAACGGGCTCGGACCAAATTATTTCCTACTCCGAGAAAGAATTCGAAGTTAGACGTTGCAGAAAATTTTTCTGAAAATTCACCAGCAGAAGATGATGTTATTGGTTTTCTTCCCGAATCACTTCTACAAGATGTAAGGCTATTTATAAAACTTAGAGTTTGTAATTTTTCTTTCTCTTCAATTTAGATAAGCCCTTGAATATATTATTATTATTCTATAGATAAGGGAGAAGGAAAAAACAGTGATGGAGGAACTTGAGGCCAATGTAGCTGAGGCAAGGCTGCGGAGGAAGATGATTGCAAGTTTGCCCAAACTTTTTGACTTTATACTCCTGATATTTCAGTCAGGGAATAGATCTGTGATTACTAAGCAAGAGCTTGTTCACAAGATTCTTTCATGTAATTGCAGTGTAGTTGATAGAAGTAAGACTTAATGTTTTGTGTTCTTTGAAACAGTTCATGAAAGCTTAACGTTGTATGATAAGTAGTTTATTTGATGTGTTCCAGATGAAGTTGAAGAGCAGTTGAAGTTAATTGAAGAATTGGTCCCAGACTGGATTTTGAGAAAGGAGGCAACTTCAGGGGACATCATCTATCGGTTAGTTTCTCTGAGTTCTCATTTGGTTGCTTGAAGTTAGAAAAAAATTATCTGAAACGAAGTGAAATTTGTTAATTTCATTATTTTTTTTAACTCGGAGAAATTAAAATCTTCATAGGGAAATAAAGTGCATTATTTAGACAAATAACAAATAACTATGTTTTGTGAAACTATTTACGAGTTGAAATGCAGAAGTGACTTCTATGGCAAATCTGACACATTTTGCTTGTATTCAGTGTGAATAAGATGTCAAGCTCGCAAGAGATTCGGCAGAGGCTTGCAGCAGCTGAGTAAAAGAGTACTAAATTGTACATTTTGCTGATTCTGAGTGCTTACTCTGATGTTAAGGTTGCTCTGCTAGCTTGGAATGGAGAGCTGGAACTTTTTTCTATAGATTATCATTGGTGATGCAGTGGTCGCAACAAAGCTGATGATATAGTGTATTTATTTTGGCGCAAGGTATGGAGAAAGCTGTCTCTCATGTAGCATGTGCCACAGTGCTAGTAATATAGGCCTTGTATCAACGCAGCTCATCCCTGACCCTTGGTTGGAGGCAGCTCGAGCTGCACGAGTATTTTTGTCTTGACTTTCAATGTATCCACAAAAAAGGGGGCTATTTACTTTTGGAAATTTCCTCCAATCAGCAAAAGCTTTTCGATTCTATATTTTCCTCGCTGGCAATATTGTAATGGAAAGGTGCATTAATTTAGATTAAAAAGATAGTCTTGGCGATTAAGAGCTATGTAGACTGCTCATAATAACTTAATGGTCACAAAGGTAGTGTGAAGAGTGATCACATGTCATCTATCTTGTTTAAGATAGCTGTGTATTAACATTGAGATGGAAGAGTTAATGTGGTCACATGATAACTTCCACCAATAAATAGGTTCATGGGGTACATAATAACTAAAAAGGTTTATTGGCTCAACACTTGAAATTAGATTGTTTTATTCAATTAATAAAGTAATTAAAGCCTCATTTGAGAATGCGATAAAGTTCCGTTGTGGTGCAGAGAACAACGACAACGTTTCTCCGCCCATTGGGTATGTTACTGTCTTTGCAAGTACATCGACCACAACGATATTCCTTCACCATTTAATAACACCATATCTCCATAGTTTCAGTCTTGTGTTCTGTTGTTTGGAAAATGAAAATGTCCACTTGAATGATTTCCTTTCTGCTTCATCACTCATCACTTATGTCTTCTTATTACCTTGTTAGGCCTTGGAAGCATAGTGTGAACTTTATGATCGATTAGGTTATTTCATGAGTTTCGATTATCAATGAGCCACTATTCATTTGGGATGTGTGAGATTCGCTATCTGTCATGTGGCTTAGCGAGAATTTGAAAGCTTCAAGATTCACCTGTGGAATAACCATACATTGTGATACCATTTCACTTATCGTCATTCAAGAGGAAATAATATTTCTTTAATCGAAAGTACTCATATGCATCTCCGAGGATGTAATTAACCGAAGGGATATGTCCCTCTGGGAGTTGCTCTTGATCTCAGAATAAGCACATACACTTGACTCTCTAGTTATGGATGGGCTGCTTTCGTAGGGTCTTCTTTGTGGATATGTTTTCAAGGTATTTTTGATCCAATCTTGTTTGAACATATGCTTTTGGGCTATCACGTGAAGTTTACTTTATGAAAGTTCTTCACGTTCTTTCTCTTGTTTGTCCGCCTTCGTCGCATGTCCTTATTTTTTGATTTTTCCCATCTTCAGATCATTCATATGATCTACAAGAAAGATTTACTCGAAAAAAGAAATTATATGATGATAGTGGAAAACCCTAAAAATAAATTAAAAAGAGAAAAAGAACAAAAACAACTATGACATATGTATCTTTCATTCATGAGTTGGTACGAATCTTTAACTACTTCTACCACTTATATTTTTATGGAATTCCAAATTTTGATTTCTTCATACTTTAAGGGCAAAGACATCACATAAAGATACGTTCTTCTCTTGTTTGTCTGCCTTCGTCGCATGTCCTTATTTTTTTATTCTTCCATTTTTTATATCATTCATATGATCTACAAGAAAGGTTTACTCGGAAAAGGAAATTATATGACGATAGACAAGCTGGAAACCCCTAAAAATAAATTAAAAAGAGAAAAAAGAACAAAAACATCTTTGACATATGTATCTTCCATTCATGAGTCGGTACATATCTTTAATTACTTCTACCACTTATATTTTTTATGGAATTCCAAATTTTGATTTCTACATACTTTAAGGGCAAGACATCACATGCAATCGAGAATGAGAACAATAAAAGTAAATAAAGTGCATAACTGTAACACAAGAGAAACTACAAAACTTCACATGATAGGTCATCATTAAGCATGCAAATTAAAGACAACCAAAACATAGCTAAGTGAACAATAAGAATATCACAATCAAATTAGCATGAGCTTCACATGGATAAATATTAATGAAGGATGTGGTCAACATAAAGAAACACATAGTATGTTCATCACAACATAAACAAATAAAAGTCCATAGCAACAATAATCCAATTGACATAAGCATAATAACACAAATAAAATTACAAAATTCGAAGAGCATTAAATAAAAGTAATAAAATTAATAAAATTGAGGCTATTCCTCAACAAGCAACATGACTCTTTAAGAGGTATGCAACTCCGAATATTCAAATAAGCAAATAAGAACACAAGCACTCAATAAAGCAAGGGAAAGGAAATTGGGTTGCCTCCCAATAAGTGTTTAATTTAACGTCCTCAACCTTCTCAAATCTCACACAAACACAATAAACTAATCATGCAATCACATGACAAGATAATGCTTGGGTAGCCTCCTAAGTAGTTCTTAGTTTAAAGTCCTCAGCCAAACCATGACAGTTTTGATCAAACATAAAAGTATTCTCCAGGATCAAGTTGTCTTCTCAATAATCCCTGGTCCATCATTCCAAATTTTTACTATTCTGAAGAATTGTTTAAATCATCCAATGTGTTATTTATTCTACAACCTTCTAGAAAATGTGTTAATTTTTTACTCACAAGTTCAGACTTCTTAGTTTATTATGAATCTCTTACAATCATCTTTCTTCTGGAATGGCGAGTGTCGATTCAGATGATAAACTTTATAAAATAGTTCTTGCTCCAATGTTCTGAGCACTCCTCCCTCTTGAAATTTGCTTGAGCCACCTGCACTCATGAAGGGCCCAGTAGGGTATCCTTCAAAGAAGTCACTCACTAACCACTCAGGGGAAATCCCTAACCTTATCTTAGGGGCTCCTCCTATGGGAGAGCTCATATACTGGGGGTGGGTTGTGGGGTGCTTAGGCTTAACTACCTCCCTAAACATTCTAGGGGCCTCCTTAAATTCAACATATTGGTATAAATTGCCTCTGCCACCACATATATATCCTAGTATTGAGCATCTTTAGAGGTTTAGGGAAACTTTATAGATTTCATTACATCAAAAGTTACATCCTGATCATTCAGTCTAATGGTAAATTCCCTCTTTTGAATAGCAATCACAACTCGACCAGTGACTAAATAGGGTCGACCAAGAATTAAAGGAAACTCTTTATCCTCTTTCATGTCTACGACCACAAAATCAATAGGAAATATAAATTTTTCAACATTAACTTGGACATCCTCTATCACTCCCCTCAGGTAAGTCATAGATTGGTCAGCTAACTGAAGGGTTGAGGGGAGGGGGGATGAAATTATCCTAATCCCAGCTTTTTGAAAATGGATAAAGGAATAAGCTTGATGCAGACTCCTAAATCACACGAAGCCCTCCCACTAAATCTCTTTCCTATGGCATAAGGGATGGTGAAATTTCCTGGATCTTTCAATTTTTTGGATAATTTCCTCTGTAAGATCGCAATGTACTCCTTGGTAAAGGCTACTATCTCACTAACTTCTAATTTTTTCTTTTTGTTTATGACATGCTTCACAAACTCCACATAACTCAACATTCGTTCTAGGCTTTAGCATAAGAGACATTGATGGTAAGTTTATTTACAACTCTAGAACCTCAGAAATTTGTTGGTCCCTCATATGCTTCTGGAGTCTTTGAGGAACGGGCAGTGGTGGTCTCTCTTTTCCTATCTTATGTTATGCAGATATTTTTCTAGAGTAAGGGTTAAGTGTTTCTATATGACTTTGAGGTTTAGACTCTGACTCATCTAATCTAAGCTTTTCCACCATAGGCTCTTCACACACTTTTCCCCTCCTAAGACTTATAACATTGTAGTGCTTTACATTCAGGTCCTTTGGATTCACTTATGTTTTGCTAGGAAACGTCCCTTGGGATCCTTGGCTCATTAAATTAGCTATTTGCCCAATTTGTTTTTCAATGTTCATTATGACAGCAACATGACTTTGAATATGATTCCCCATGTTTAACACCACTTCTTCCAATGACAACTTCTTATCCTTAAATTAAGGGTTAGCATTAAATTATGGAGGGTAAGTCTGTCTTGGGTTCCCGCTACCTTGGCTATTCCAATTTCTTATTGCATTAGCTTGATTGTTCCCCCAATGTTGGTTTCCTACATCTGGGTTATCATTATTCCAGTTAAAATTTGGATAGTTCTTCCAATTAGGGTTGTGGGAATTGAAGTACGAATTGTTAAATCTATTATTGATAGCATTCATAGTATCGATAGACAATGCACTAGGATCCACCAGTTGTCGATAAGAATTTTTTCTCTATGACCGATGGTCCTTGTGGCTGATTCAAGCCTAATTAGTCTAACTTAGTCAAGATAGATGGAACATCCGTGTCGTGAACACTGCCTACCTTCCTAGGGTTCACTTGATTTGAAGGCCATTATAAATTATTTATCGTCATCTCATCAATTAAAGAATAGGCCTCATCAAAGGAGTTTAACATTAGAGAACCTTCTGTTGCTGCATTTATGATCCACTTTAAGTGACCATACCAACCCATTATAAAAAGTCTGAATGATTAACAAGTCAGGTAATGCGTAGTGGGGGAATTTCTTAAGGAGCTCTTTAAACCTTTCTCAGGCTTTATAAATAAATTCACCATCAAACTGGCTAAAAGAAGTAACATAATTCTTAAGTTTGGTTGTTTTTGAAGGTGAAAAATACTTTTCTAAAAACTTCTAGGTCGTGTCATTCCATAATTTAATAGATATAGGAGCTAGGGAATTTAGCCACATTTTGATTTTATGCCTCAAGGAGAAGGGAGAAGCCTTAGCCTTGCGGCGTAGTCAGAGACTCTGTTATAGTGAAATGTAGTGCAGAGTTCTATGAAGCTTGCTAAATGAAGATTAGAATCTTCCATTGGCATCCCTCCCAAACAGATTATTCTGCAACATCTGGATTATGGTGGGTTTCAATTCAAATGAGTTGGTTTCTACAATAGGTGTACTTATACTTAAGTGGATTTCATCTACCATAGAATTTGCAAAATCCTTAAGAGGCCGAGTCATGGTATTAGGTCCATGATTATTGAGTTCTTTCTGAGGTTGTGTTTCATTTCTCCTAAAGTTTGTTGAAGCCTTTTTTAGTTTTTGAATTTTCTTAATAATTCTCTCTAACTCAGGGTTGTAAGGTTCTAGGTCAAAGGATCCTGAACTATGCATACACCAACCAGATTCAACTAGCTAAGTGGCCCTATGCTAAAGATAACACCACACACTTAAAATGAAATTACATAACAATAGAGTAAGCTCTCATACAACTTCAATATAAAATTAAGCAACAAATAAGCCACAAGTTTTGTGCAAAAATTAAAAAACAAGATACAAGTGCACAGATTTAACAAGTAACTAACAAAACATTTTTAGATTTTTGTAAATAAATGAAGAAAAAAATAAACTAAATAACAAGTCATATTGTACTCTACTATTTTCAAATTTAAGACAAAAAGTTCAACTAATATTTTTTTTAATTTGAATTCACCATCGTTCTTCGCAACAGTGCCAAAAACTTGACACGCTCTAAGTTAGGCAAAGCATGGGTGGCTCACACAAGTATACATGGCATATCAGTAGTATACAGAATGAAGTTCCTTGCGTCGATCCCAAAGGGAGCGGGATGATTCCAAATGAGAAAAATTCTAGTTTACTACTATTGGTCCTAGCCTAAACTATTGAAGTTTTTAAAGTTGAATGAAATTTCCCTACCCTTGTTTTAAAAGTGAACGAAACCTAATTTTTCAAGCAATGAAAAGAAATAGTTGTTGATTTAAGCATTGTCCTAATCCTTTGAAGTGGTTATGTAGGGATTCAAGCCTATAAAGTGATTCAAAAGCAAGTGTCAAACAAGAGAAAACTCTTCCTTATCTCTTTTCGGTAGTCTAAGAAAGATTGAAGATTCATTTGTTTAGTTCCCCAAATTAAATGAATGGCCCAAGAAAAACTCGCTCCACATTTCGTTTGCACGAATTCAAAGTTAACATCCCTATTTCGATGCTTTTTTGGTTAACTTAATCATTCTTCTTAGATTTTTACTGAAATTCTAAAATCATGATTAGTGTTAACAAATTAACTAGCCAAGTTAAAAGTCAATAAGTTTTCTAAGTTAATCCAACACTATTGAAAATTTTACACAAAGAAGCACATATATATGCCAAACATTCATCCCTGCACTTTCACAACAAAGGAGAAAAAAAAATTAACTCATCAAGCATGCCCAATTTCATCAACATACATATTGTATTAAAGATAGAAATCATATACAAAAGTCTCACAAATTGTTTCTTAGAGAAAACAAACAAAGAATCACATATATATGCCAAACAATCATCCCTGCATTTTCACAACAATGGAGAAAAAAAATAAACTCATTAAGCATGCCCAATTTCATCAATATAAATATTGTATTAAAGATAGAAATCATATACAAGAGTCTCACAAATTGTTTCTTAGAGAAAACAAATAAGAACTCAACATACTTATCTCTTTCAAATCCTGAGTTACAAGCACTGTGACACTCTCACAATCTCCCACTCTGTCTTTAAAACTCGCTCTAAAATGCTTCATTGATCTTCTCTAACCTTCTCTAGAAGTTTTTCACGTTTCAAATGGCAGAAAAAGACCCCCCTCTCTTCTTCGTATTCCATGTTTTTATACTTCTCCAGGCAATAAGTCATGTCCGAACTATAGAAAGCCATCCAACCGAGTGAACTAACGCCTAAGCGCTGGTTTGTAGCCCCTAGGCGCTAGTCACTAGCGTCTAGACGTTATAGCCGCTGCGCCTACTTTTTTCCTTCTATGGAATTTCTAGACTCTGGACTCTTTTGGGCGCCTAGGAATTGCTTTTGATTGCCTAGGCGTTCGTTTATGGCGCCTATTTCTACATCCTGACACCTACTTTCTATCTTCTCGGGATGAATTTCTGAGTGCCTAGGAACTGTCCTATGGTTCCTACCTTCTACATTCGGGCACCTAGTTTCTGCCTTCTCGACATGAATTTCTGGGCGACTAGGCCCTGGTATGTGGCACCTACTTTCTACATCCCGACACCAACATTTTTGCATCCTTAGTGAATTTAATGAGTTTCTTCAGCTCTGATGCTCTTATTTCCTTTATTCTGTAAAACACAACACAAATATCTTTCAAAAGCATAAAATTAACTTAAACTCATATTAAAATAGAACACGAATTAGCACATTTTCTATGCATATCAATAACACTCACAACATGAGATTGAAATTAAGGACATAGATTCCTTTCTGAAATAATGAGCACCAATGCAAGTTTTTCCATAATTTTGTACTTCATCTCAGCTCCACATATGACATTATTTGCACAATAGATGTGAAATTATTTCTTTTTTTTTGTGAATTAGGACGAAGCTGATTATTTCTTTTCAACTCTCAAGTAAATGAACAATTCTTCTCTTATTTGAGACTTTGTATTAGATGCCGTGAAGAAAATAATGTCTTCAATTGCTTGAAGGCTTGATCACATTATTTTGTATAAACAAAATAATTATAATTTTTCATGATTTTGAAGAAAGATGAACTTCGATCACCACATTTGAAAAAAACCTGTTAAGGCCTGTGATGTGACCCGTCAGATTTTGCAGCCCTTTGAGATTGGGCGAAAAAATTCAAGAATATCTAGGATGGCTTGAATGTTTTCAATGTTTGACTTTATCTCTTCCGGTGTGAGCAGTACCCAAGAAATTTTTCTAAACGTACTTCAAAAGTGCATTGGAGGGAGTTCAGCTTAGCGTTAATCCACCCCAGAGTATTAAATGTTTCTTTTGTCTTTATATGCTCTTTTAGTGATTTGCTTTTGATAAATAGGTCATGGCTATACACTTCAACATTCTTTCCTTTCAAAATGTTAAATTTTTTTAGGACGTAGGGTTTGTCTTATCGGTATGTTCATATAATCTGAGAGAAACCTTATGAAGGAGGTGGAAGGGAGCCGTGGAATTCTGAGTGTGCTTGCCATTATCAATGGTGGTGAGAAAGGGAAGGGAGGAGAGAGAGAGAGAGGACTTTCTCTTATTTCCCTCATATCTATTCCTCCTATAATTTACTTGTGTTCATAGGGCTAAAAATAAAAAGTAAATGTTTGGTTGTGGATTGTGTAGAGGGCTTATTAAAACTCATCGTTGATAACGTCCTAGGCATGGACATCATGCAGTCAATAAATAGATAATGAAAGATAATGAAACAGAGTTTTCCTTCTTTCTATCAGGAAGGAATATTCAACGAACTTGATGGATGCAGTTGAGCTCAATAGAAGGGCTCAAGAAACAAGGGAAAATTTGATCGAAAAAACTCACTTAAATATTTAGTACTAGCGAGAGCAATTAAATGAGATCATATGTTACTGAGACTTTTGGGAGAAAAGGTCGCCGAGTCCCGCTGATAGATGAGAAAATATTACATTAGGACTCCATATGTAATTTGCATCCAGAGTCTAATAGTGGGGCGCTATATGTAAAGCGAGTTTGTCGTAATACACTGGGATTGGTCGGTGTTAAAATTTGTTAGACCCACTTTATATGTAGCGCCCCACCATTAGACTCCAGATGCAACCGGAGTTCTGATGTAATATTTTTTCGCCGACAGACAAGTCTAATAGCTGTGAGTGTGTAGGGTTGGTATGATAATGTGGTGAACTTGCTCGGCGTCTAATATCCGAGAAATATTTACATACGGAGAACACACAGCTCTCAGTGGGTAATCCTCTCCCAATAATTTCTCAAAAACCTCTGCGAATGTTATTGAAGGATATTGCAGAGTTATTTCAATGTTATTTGGGGTCAATATCCTCTGTGATTATACTTTCATATTACGCAGTTATACTTTCATATTACGCAGTTATACTTTCACATTTTCTCTAGTGTTACATTGAAATAACCTCCAATCAAAAAATTTGTTTTTTTAAAAAAAGTTAGATTGGTACTTTTGATAGGGGGAGTGTTTTGATTGAGGTGAAGGTATGTAATAATTTTTCGTTTTGAAGATCCATGTTGGATCGGCTTCCCCCTCTTTTGGCAGTTACAAAGCTTTTCTCGAGCTCGTCGTGCAAATTGGTCCTCAAACCTCCAAAAATGTTCTGTTCGATCCCCACCTCAAGATCCACAACCAGCTGGCTTGATCGCCTTCACGCCTGCAAGGGCTTCACCGTCCCCGCCGACCTCGATCTCGACCACTTTCTCTACTCGAACTCCAACCCTAAGCCCACTCCTTTGAATCGAGAGGTCGTGGTTGATCACCCTCTCGGCGAGAAGAAGCTGCAGTTCCGGAAGGGGACATTCTTCGAGAAGGAGCAGCGCCTATTCTCTCTGATGAGCAACGTTCTCTCTGAGATCTTCGTTATGGGAGACCCGCGCAACTCGGCTGCATGTCTGAAAGGAGTGCGGAAGCAGTTAAATCCTAGGGCGTGCGTGCCTTCTGCTTCGGCCAGTGTTGATGGCGGGGCTTTGGCATTGTCACTTTCCAGCGCGGACAACAGCGGAAGAAGATGAAGAGGATGCGGGGGGGCCCAGGGCAGGCAGCCTCCTGGGATCCTTCAGTGTGTACTGGCACGGTTGTGACGGTGATTGATACTAGCTCGCCGGGTTGGAAGACGGAGAAACATTTCAGGAAGGGGATGGTGTCGAAAAGAAGGGAGAAGGTGTGGAATGTAAGCAGAAAGAAGAGAAAATTTGGCTCGGCAGAAAAGTTTATTGTGGAGAAGGAGAGGGCCGAGAGGCTACGGCCTCTGGCCGAGTTGAAGGAACGGGAGCAGAACGAGAATGCTGAGCCGCACAATGAAGTAAGAGTTTTCGTAAAAAATTTTTTTTTTTTGACTTTCGCTTTTTCTTATGATTTTGATGCTTAATTAATTGCATTACCTTGCCATATCTTTACATCATTTTAAATATAGTTAACTGTGCAAATACTTTAGTTAACTCCTAATTTTTTTAATTATGAAAAAGGAAGTTTATTACTTTACAAACATGAGCTATGAAAATATAAACTTAATTATTTTGTAAAATATAAGTTTATGAAAAGATAAGCTTAACTTCAATATTGAAATTTTTGTCAATTCATTTATTTTGTTGAAATTTAATTTAAACTAAGCGACTAGAAATGGAGAGAATTTGTTGTATGTTTAATTTCACAATTTGTGCTAAATTTAGTACTGTCCAGGAAAACTGATAATAGAAATATACTATAAATAGGATATAGAAATGCAGAATAATTATAAATATGATGATTCATGGATTTGTGAGGTGGCAACAATAATTTTATGGATCAATGTGGTGGCATGAAGAGAATACAAATGCTGACAGACGAGATTGCAGGAGTTAGGGCGGATTTGTTGGAGGCTGAATTGAAGAATTATGATTTTTTCACAATCCTCCTTGAGCAAAGAAACAGATGTTCATTCTAAACTTGTATGTCAAATTTCAAATTATTGTGCTTGATAATTCAGTAATGAGAAGGTCAACGAGTTGTGCATATGTGGAGACAAACTGAGTATAAATTAGACCATTGGCATTTTAATAATAATGAAAGGTCTATCAACTTCAGTATGCTTTGTTCAGTCTTATTGCACGATATTATGTGCAATATTAACAACCAATTTGTTATATTTTTTATTTCATCATTTGTGCTAAATTTATTAAATTTGAGGAAACATACAGTAGAAAATATACATTAATTAGGAAATAAAAATATAGAATTAATTATAATTATGATGATCCATGGATTGGTGAGGTGATAACAATAATCGCTAATCACTGAGGTGACATGAAGAGAATAAGGAAACTGACATATAGATTGGAGTCGGGACAGATACGTTGGAGCATGAAATAATGGAATTTATTTTTTCATACAACCCCCCTTAAGAAAATGAATATATGTTATCCATTCCAAGCTTATATGATAGTTTTTGAATTATAGACCTTGATAATCCTTTGATGAGAATATCAACAATTTGTGCATATGTGGCGACAAAGTATAAATTAGACAATTATCTAACTTCCTTATAGTAATAAAATATCTATCGACTTTAATATGCTTTGTTTTGTCCTATTGCACAGTATTATGTGCAATATTAACAATTGACCTGTTTTCGTAATTAAGCCTAGTCGGATCTTTTTATTAGACCTTTAAATTTTCTAAGATAATCTTCAACCATTTTATTATGTAGATTTTCTATGCCATAGATCTAAATTATACTTCTGTGCTAAATCTAGCCTCTACGCTTTTGTTACTTATTAAAATCATGCATTTTTCTTAAAAGAAGGTGCGCTTTCCAGAATTATCCTATTAATCATTAACACTGAATAATCAACTTCTATTTAAGTCTGAAGCATTAGATCTTTCTTTTTTTGAATGAAATTCTTTTACGTTAGATTCTTTCATATATTGTGTAATTCAATGTATAACCCTTAAATATGATTCACTCGAATTGTGCATGAATTGATTTGCCATACTAACAATATAGATAACGTCAGACCTAATATCTGATAATTACTTAAGACTTTGATAAAAGTTTTTCTATTCCCGTGTTTTTGAATCATCTTCTTCTTTAGGTTTATGATTAACTTTTATAGGGTTTTGGACAGACCTTCATTCTAACTTGCTTATTTCTTTTATTGTGTATGTCATGCCCTTTTTTTGTTGCTGGAAAGATCTTATATCAAGAGTGTCCAACCTCCATACAAATGGAATAATTCAACTTATTTGATTTTCTGACTTCAAATTCCGGGAACACCTTTGAAGTCTTATACCCTTCAAGTCATTACTTATTATTATGATAAACTTCTTCTAAAGTCATGTTTCGTAAAAAAATGTATGGTCTTGTTACTCTGTTTGTATTTTCCTAACTCCCAATTATTACAATAAAACTCTTTAATACCAATATTTTTGAATAATAAATGAAATATAAGTTTGAGAATAATTAAAAAAATATGGCTAATATGTGTTCGAGCTATATCTTTTTTTTCTTGAAAAAATTTCCAAAAAAAAAAAAAAAAAAAAAAATACAACTGGCAATATGTAGTTTCTTTGGTTATTAGATGACTCAAATTGATAGAGATTATCTCTTTATTTAACAAATTCAATCATGTTTCTCATGCTTTATTCTTATAATATACAATGTCAAGGGTAAAACAAAACATTGCATTTGGAATAAGTAGTATGCTTTTGGATAGATAACAAGCTGGTGAATAATTTATTTTTATAGAGGACATTTTGAATGTGAGGGTTTTATTTATAAGAATTCCTCTTTGGCCAGTAAAGGTCTACAATGATTCATCAATAATAGGACAAGAAGTGCACAAAATAAATTTGTGTAAAAAAGTTGATTATATGGCGTGTGGCTCCTAATTTAATAATCCAAAAGCTGGAAATCAATATCTCAGAAATTTTAAAAGCACGCGAAGTGGACATAATGCTTGAGAAAGCAAGAGAATAAGTATCTGACATAGGAGGCTTTTCTGGTGGCAACAATTTTTTTTTTTTCAATTTTTCTTTTTTACTTTGTGAAGCTCTGTTATCGAATCTTTGGCATCATCTTCTTTCATGTATATTACGTATGCATTTCTATTCTTTTGCTTGCTCTTCCTATATATTTTTTAACCCTTGCTTGATGGTTTGCTTTGAAGATTCCAACATCCTTTTTTGACATGTTTAACTATTTTGAAAAATATCACCATAATGAATCTCTGTTGACCAATTTTGTTGGATGTGGCTGCTTGGGCTCTTCAGGAGAGGGGTGATTTGAATCTCGGCGTTTGATATCAATAACTTTTGTCATAAAGGTCAAATCTGCCATTGCTCTATTGGTAATCATCACTCCCATTTCCTCTTCTATTTTTTAAAATGATGGAAATGACTTTGTTTATGGAAGATAAATCGTCCTTTCAATAAAAATTTATACTTTCAACACTAAACATTTAATTAACAAGAAAATCATAAATATAATTTTCTTAATAAAACTTTTGCGGAGGGTTGCATCTTGACCTCATTCCTTTTGGATGAATTGATTAATGATTTATCTCTAGCCAAAGGTTTTGTAGTTTATTTGAGTATTTTGTGATGGATCATCCTCCTTGTTTTGTGGATGACATATTAGTTTTGATATCATAAATTTGGATCATATCAGAGTCTTTAGAATACGTTTGATTCATTGTATCCCATATTTCTTTTGATGAATGAAGGAATATGCTTATATCACTTATTTTAGGAACCATGGAGCTTTATAAGCGTCGTGTTCAATGAAACATGGGATTGCCTTGCTATGGTTTGATGCCTAGTAAATGACATAATTTTTTTCTTTAAAAAGGCGTGGACTAATTGTGGCCATTTGAGGTAATTATTACTATTCAAATAATATTTTGAATAAATGTTTTGTATTTCTCTCATTGGATTTGAGTTGTTAGTTGTAGTTCTAATATAACCAATGAGCAAGGGAACATGTTTATTATTTTGATATATGAGAAGGGAAATTATGGTAGAAATTGTTTACAAAGTGAAATAAGAATAGAATTAAGTCTACAGTGATAAAGGTTGCAACTGAGAAAATTTATTGTAGAAGGAAAAAGTGCAGTAATGAAGCTTGAAAATTCTAACACAATGATAAGGTCGCAGCATATTAAAAAAAATGCCGAGATTATGATATCATGGCAAGAATTATGAAGAATTTATTGTGTAACTCATACCAGCATTCATGCTGAATTTATATAACTCTTGGGGAGCCTCTACTAGGAAATATATAACAATTAGATTTTTGGAAAATAAGTACATAATTAATTACAATTAGAATATTAATGTAGAATTTATAAGATCTTGATGGTAAAGGTAAGAACTTGACTGATGTTTCTTTAGGAAGGTGTGGTAGGGTTTTGCGGGTAGTAGGAAAATAATACTTAAGGTATATACTTAAGGTATTTAAAAATGTAATTTTTTTTTTTGGTTTTGAAGAAAATGCGGAGGAACTCTAGGTTAATGATTTTTGATGTTACGAAATTATTGGTGGTATTTTTATGGGCTTTAGATTTGTGGTTTTGGAGTTGTAAATTTTTTAATTTTATTGCTCACGGAAGGAAATTGTTTCCATTTATTTTCTTGGGTACTTTTTGGGTTAATGAGGAATTAAGCCTTTGAGAAGTTGTAGCGGTTATGGGGAAATGTGTATGAGAGTTTTGAAGGAGTTGGATGTTGTCTTGGATGATTGAGGCTTAAGATATAGGGTTAGTCGAGCTTGGCTAGGTGGAGAGTAGAAATGTGTTTGGAGAGAGGATTATGAGAGATAAAAAATAATTGAGGACTAACCAATGCTCCAAGGGATCAACCGCCAAGCTACACTAAAGATTAAAGCAGCCACAAAATTTTTTCATGCGAAATTTATAGTAGTAAAAAGTTTTATTCTATGAATTTGAATATACAAAGTAGAATCTTATTTATTGGTTTTTCCAAGCCTAAATAAGCTTAAAAATTGTTTAGGAACCAATAAACTACTATTATATGGATTGTTAATTTGTCGCGATGCAAAAATAAATACAAAAGCAAAATATCATAAAATTTAAAGCTTTCATTAGAATGAAATTTCAATGATGCCGAATAAAGGTAAGTGGAGTCATCGAAATCAAGCATTTGTTGAAGATTTTCGCTTTATTATTTTGGCCGATACCTACTAATCAAAGGACCTCAAAATAAGCTTCTTAATTATTCTTTATTGATTTTGGAGTGAAGAGGGTTTAGCTACACATGAAAGTTTTGGCCAATCATGAAACGCGATTCAACTTTGTGTTGCTTTGGAAGGATTAATGGCTACATGATATTTGCAATCGATCGCTAATTGTTTCCTATGATATAAAAGCAATCAAATTTATAGAAAAAAAAAAGAGGGAAGGGGGGGAATGGATTGCTATATGAGGATGAATCTGAAAAATTGATATGCTAGATTTATATTTCAAGGATAATTGATTGGAATCATTCAATATCAATAGAAAGTTTGCAAAGAAACTTTATATTAAATTCAAAATGTTTTAATAAATTTAGCAAAGATCATGCCGTAAAATTCTACTTTATTTATTTTGATTTTGTTAATTAAATAATATTACATTTTATATTAACAACTACAGGTAAAATGCATGATTTTTTTTTTGGAAATAGTACAAGCTTAATTTCTCAACATAGCATAAGCATAAAAATGATGAACATATCTGTGATTTTGACTCAAAACAACATTTGAGATCCAATGGTAGTAAAATCAAAAGCTCAAAATGATTGCATAAAAAGTTATGAATTCTCCATAAAAAATGTAATAAAGATTTAACTTAATTTGAGTTGGATATAAAAATTTGAATATGCAACCAACCTAGAATCCAATTTTGTGAAAATTTCATACATAAAATTAAAAAAATATTATAATGAATAATGATGTTATTGGATTTGTTATAGTTCATTTATATAAATTTAGCATATATAATTAATTTAAATTTTATTTCATCTGGTAAATTTTCTATTCCCTATGGAATATAAATTTATCATATATAATTAATTTAAATTTTATTTTATCCGGTAAGTTTTCTATTCCCTATGGACCTCAAAGTCATTAATACATTACTAAATCTTAATGCATGTGTATTGAGCTCCATTAAACTTTCATGAACCTTTTGATGTGATTTTTTGATCTTGTGAATGTCTAGTGAATGTATATCCTGTTCAATTTATGCTCATGCAACGAGTTAAGTACAATTCTTGCAAATCTTGCATTCAATCATATATTTATTGTCATGAAATTCACATTATTAAAATTTAAACTCATAAAGCTCATAAAAATGCATCAACTTCATGGTTATGCTATTTATATATGTTAATGGCGCCATGATGTGGCGTAGTGCACTGGAAAAAACTTGGCATGGCACACTCTCACTATTTACATGGCACTTGCAACATGCTATATTATGTAGAGCAATAGTGCATGACACATAGCCCCTATTGCACGTGCTAATTTAATCTTGATAAATTTTTCATTATTAAATTTAAATTATTATTATTTAATTTTTTATTTTTAGTAGTTCTCACAAACACAAACACCAATGCCACTTAGTTTGGGCTAGGGCATCATCTTACACTCTTACACTCATTTCGTTATCTCTTTTGGATAGGGCATTGTGCTCAGCATGCTGCACAGCAGCCGCAGGGTCTCATCATTTTGCTTTGTCTCTACCTCCCACAACAAGCGCATGCAGCATTTTTATCTTCCTTACATTGTGGCATTGCAGTTTGCAAATGTGGCACACTTATTTTCCTCATACAACCACTCAACAACTATCCGCCTTTTCTTCTTCGCATAACAGACCACACACATGTTCTTCTTTGCACAGAAGGCCGCACATCTTGTCTTTCTTGCACTGTAGACCTTACATCCAATCTTCAGTCTTGACCCTTTCGGCCTTGTTTTTATGGCTTGATCATGCTAGCCTTAACTTTAGCAAGCTGCACTCAACCTGGAAACCTTCACCGTTAAACTAGGAAGCTCTAGATGGTTGCGACGAAGATATTGTTCCTTGCCATTGCCCCAGACTTCGCTATTTCTAATTTTTTTTTTGTTGCTCGACATTTTCTAATGCCTTTGTGAGTATTAATTATCTTTATCACTATTGGTTCGTTTAATTTTTAAATAAAACTATAGATTTGGAAAAATAATTTTAATATTGTGAATTTTAAGTGGTTGAGGTAATGAGCACTTGAACATAAACATTACTTTTGCTGTTTGTATTAGTATTATGTTTTAGTTTTCAATTCATTAGTCTTTTAGGTTTATATACATTTTCATTTATAATTTTTTAATATTTTATGTCTTGTTTAAAATAGCATGCTTCACCCCGTGCATTATTCCCGGTTGACTGGTCTGATGGGATCATAAATCATTTTGATTTGTCCTGCCTAAATGGGCATTGCGGAGCCAGCGTGCATTCATCTTCTCTGTGATTTTAAATGTATGGGAAACACTTGTTAACAACTTCTTTGTCTTTGTAAAAGTAGCATGAAATTATTTTTTATGCGACAACACAATCCTACAATAGCACAATGAACAAAAAGAAAGACTTGGTGTGAAGAGAGGTTTATGCTTTAATTTGTTTTTTTCTTTGATGGTATCATCTTATTGAAAGATTGATGTTTGGCCATGTAAATATTACCACTATATATTATAGTGCTTATTCTTGTCATTAAAGATAATCTATGCTGCAATAGACAACTAACTATTTGGAGACGGTTTTAAAGTATCAGAATTATTATTATTATTGTTACTACTACTATTACTATTATTATTATTATTATTACTATTATTATTACTATTACTATTATTACTCTTACCATTACTATTACTAATATTATTATTATTATTACTATTACTATCATTATTACTATTACCAGTACTATTATTATTACTATTATTATTATTACTATTACTATTACTATTATTACTTACTATTACTACTACTACTAGTATTATTATTATTATTATTATTATTACTATTATTATTACTACTATTACTACTACTATTACTACTACTTATTATTATTATTATTATTATTATTATTATTATTATTATTTAGTGTAATATGATGCAAAACAAAATGGAATGGAACTTATTTTTTTCACTACTCCATAATATTAATTTCTCAATAACAGTGGCATCTCCCATCCATGCACCTATTATTACTATTACTATTACTATTATCATTATCATTATTATTATTATTATTATTATTATTATTATTATTATTATTATTATTATTATTATTATTATTATTATTATTATTATTATTATTATTATTATTATTATTATTATTATTATTATTATTATTATTATTAGTGTAACGTTAGCTTATGATGCAAAAGAAAATGGAATGGAACTTACTTTTTTCACTACATAATATTAATTTCTCAATGACAGTGGCATCTCCCATCCATGCACCGGAAGAGTGGGCTCAAAGTATGGTTGTCGTCCAAAATGCAAGCAAAAGAAAATGGAATGGAACTTACTTTTTTCACTACATAATATAAATTTCTCAATAACAGTGGCATCTCCCATCCATGCACCGGTAGAGTGGGCTCAAAGTATGGTTGTCGTCCAAAATGCAAGCTTGTTACTTTGCATTGTTATCTCTTATTTTTAATTCTATTTGAGTTTATTGGAATTATTTTTTGCGTCTTTATAGTCCTATTGGATCTTTAGCCCATCATCTTTTATACAGTATGCTTTTGTTTATGTGGTCATACCTTATGATAACAAATATGATGCTTCAAAAGCCATTCACCTCTATTTTGGGTTTTGTAAGCGATTATGTGATAAATCCCCAAGGCTGTTCCTTATTATTGGGCCGTCGTAAGGTATAATGAGAGATTTGGTACTTCAAATTTCAGGCTCACGTTTTTTGTTTATGTATTGCAAGGTATTTTTACTGATAATGTACCTTATAATGAGTCTATCTTAAGGTAATCTTCCATGGTCTGTTTCATATATTCTTAGCTTGGTTGAAAACTAAGAAATCAGCTTTATGTCCGTTTGTTTTTTCTTTTGTTAGAAAATTTGCTATCTCACATCAATCTGTATGTAAGGTGTCAAAATACCTGTGAGGCCTTTGGCTATTGATTAGTATTTTTCCTTTGGGTGTGAAGACTTTTTTTCTTGTAAGTTTTATTGGATGTCTTTATTCAAGTTAAGCTTTGATTATTAGGTTCTTCATTCTCTCTTATTCTCATAGTAATATAGTTTTTGGCAACTGAGATCAGGTTTAATCACTTGTGGTATTGTTCTTGATATCTGTTCTTTTTATAAAACCTGATGAGAGCAGTTTATGGGTGATCGAAAGTTCTCCTACGAGATGCGTTGGTATTTCACATAGATTTGGTTCTTTTATTTTCTGTTTTCGTCATTGGAACTAATAATCTTTTTTGGTGTGTGACAGGGTTCTTTTCTGTGGATTTGCATGCTATAAATTTGTGCATTTTTTTTTTGCTCCGGCTTCCGAGAATCCATAAAAAAAATACCTTCAATCATTTTTATTTATATTGCATACCATCTTGTTGCATTAATAGCTTTTGGTTGTTCTCTGCATCAATTAGTATATGTCTACTTGTGCAGTTCAGCCATATAGGATGCTCAAGCTTAGGAGAAAGAGAGCATTTCAATTGAACTTCGTACTATTTTCTTGTTTTGAAATATTTAATGGCAAGACTGTTGCTTAAAAATATTAAACACCTTAAGGTTGAATTTCTTTGTCCTCTACTTAAACAGGATTAAAAGTTTCCTACTACTTTTAAAATTTGATCCAGAGCTAAATATATACATATTTAATATTTCTCTTTTGGCATGAATTCGTCTCTGAAGCGCTTGACTAATTTTTTGTCTAATATTTTTGGCTCTTAGGCATAGAGACCGTAACTAAACTTTTATGCTTTGTTCCTTCTGAGGCAGGGCCAGTTTTAAAAACTTTACACAACAATGCGTGCAATGCATTGAATACTTTTATCAAATGCTAAATTAGCAATCATTGTTAGTGATGTTTCTCTTGTTATATGTTATTGATCTTCAGTAAGTGCAAAATCTATCAGTAAAATTATTTTCTTCATTGTTAATTGCGTTATTTTTTTACCATTCTCCCTCAGCATGTACTTTTTTGATTTGGGTTTTGTGCTATTGGTCAATTAGATTAGATTAATGACCAAACCAAACAACCCAATGTTGATGCAAATTGAACTTAAAAACAATTGAAAAGGTAATGGAGAAGATGAAAAAGACGAAAAATGAAGGTAAAGGCTAAGGTAAGCAAGCCTCATGAAGAGTAGATGATAAGTTCCTCTGAAATTTAAGTCTCTCACTTGTTCAAAGATCAAATTCTAGAATAGATGACGAGGTGGAGTCTTTTGATCTAAACCAAGAATTTAATTCATACCATAATCCAATCTAGTATGACTCAGAATTCTCATATTTATAGATAGAAGAAATTACAAAATATTAATACATTTCTAGAAATTTTCATGACATTCAGTCATTAACTGTAATCCTCATAAATAAATGAAATCGAAAGGGCATAAGAAATTCTGAGTGGAGGACCACACGTATCTTTTTCACACCTGGCTACTCAACTTGATAGTCCCATTGATTGTCTCATTAGTAAATGACATTCGAAACGTGAGCGACATTTGGGTGAAGTTGAAGATCTATGTTGGAGTTGAGAACCGCATGAGGGTGTTCCGGATTCAGTCTGAGATAGAGACAGTGTTTCAGGGTGATAAATCGATTCAGAAGTACTCCATAGTTTTTGAGTGGTTGTGGCAAGATCTTGATCACTTCTCACCTAGGTTGAGTTGTGGTGATCTGGGGTGCAAGAAGGGGGGGATTTTTGCACAGATGAGGACTATGCAGTTTCTGGCCCATCTGAACTCGGCCTTTGATCAAAGGAGACAATTTTTCCTAGCCCAGGCAAGGATTCCATCACTGGATGAGGTTATCGCAACAATGCTAAAGGAGGAGAGTCTAATGAGGCTACACTCTGAGTCAAGTGGACTTCCAGGTATGCAATTAGCTTTGGCTTTCTCGAGTTAAGGTATGACGGGTGTTCATGGGGGAGACGCACAGGTGTTACAACCATGGAGAAGTGAGACACCTGAGCCAACCAAAGCCACCCAAGCCACCCAAGCCACCCAAGCCACCCAAGCCACCCAAGGAGAGAGAGACGGGTGGATGTAAACAATGTAGTGGTCGTGATCGTAACTGTGGGGGCCAAAGGGTTGGAAGAGGGGGATATTGAGCAAATCTGATGGTAGCGGAGAATGAGGGAGAAACATGGGTGATCTTTACCGACGAGGATCACGAGTTCCTGGAGATGTTGAAGAGGAAGCAGAGAGCAGAAGGTGATGTGACTAAGGATGCGTCTATCTTATCTTCATCAAAGAGGAACACTGCTACTTATGCTGACTCAGTCAAAGGTACTTGTCATACACATTTTGTTGCTTCTATATCCACCATAAGATCACTAGAATGGATAGTATATTTTGGTGCAACATAGACGTATGACAGGTAATAATAGTGAGTTCGCTTCATATACTCATTTACAGTTCCAGAGAGCATTCAGACCGCTAATGGTACAACATAAACTGTGGTTGATAAGGGTATAGTAAGATGTACCAATTCTATGATTTGGTCGATTGATTTGCATGCTTATTCAATTCCAGTGATCCATTAGTGCTTTTTTTCTCCAATTAAAATGTGTTGTTTCTTTAGATATTCCTAAGGCGATCTTTCACGAGAAGGGGATTGGTCGGAGACTTAGGATTGACACGTGGTATAGTGGACTCTAGTGCTAACATCCATGATAAAGTGTGTTGGAGTAAGAGAATCTGGGAGGAGTGTGGAGTTTGTGTTGATGCTACATTACATGCACTTAGGATACTCTTCGTTGAGTCTTCTGACCCATTCATATGTCTTTATATGAGAAGGTAAATAAACAAAAACTTATGGTGATGCATGTAAGTTTGGTAAGCATGCCAGAGTTTTTATGTTCGTTCTGGTAAGTTCTTATGTTTTTGATTTGGTGCATTTAGATGTATGGAGACCTTGTTCTACAACTTTAATGAAGTTTATTGATTGCTTTTCTTGTGTTACTTGGTTATATTTGATGAACAAGAAAAGTCATGTTCTTGCTTGCTTTAAAGACTTTCCCGGGGCGATTCAGACTCAATGTGGTGCAGTAATGAAGATATTGAGGTCTGATAATTTGACAAAGTATACCAACAAGGCGTTTAAAGAGTACATGACAACCCAAGAGATACAACGTCAAACCAAATTTTCGTACACATCGATGAAAAATGAAGTAGCAGGGAGGAAGAATATATACCCTTATAAAGGTAGCCCAAAGCATGATGATCTTGATAAATGTCTTAATACATGTGGGGCAAACAATTTTGACTACTACTCAATTGATCAATAGAACGTATTCAAGAGTGTTGGAACGACGATCTCCTTGTGAGTTGCTGAAAGGAGATAATGAAAGAATCTTTTCATTGAAGATATTTGATTATGTATGTTTCGTGAATGAAAATAGACCATCAATAGAGAAGTTGAATTCTAGAGTTGTGAAGTGTGTTTTTGTGGGTTATTATGCTACTCAAAAATGGTATGTTTGTTGGAGCCCAATATAGAAGAAACTGTGAGTAATGATGTGAATTAGAAAATTCAAACAACCGTACGACTTCTTGAAAATGACCTCATTCTTTGGTGCTCATCAGATAATGGAGGTATGAGACAAGAGGGAGAGAGCAATGATGATGAGAGATTGATACATGTGAGAATGATATCTTTTTTCTTTGTGGGAAGGATCAAATGAGGAAGAGCTAATCCTTGAGGAACATGAGCCCGAAGTTGGTGGAATTCAAGCTCAAAGGGAGCTGAGGATATATACATGGAGGTGGCAAAATGAGGGGACAATGCTTGTCGTGCCACTCTTGCCAACTAGTCCCGTGTCCCGGTCTACCCTGACTTCTGAGGCACTTACATCAACCACCTCGGAATCCATTTACACAGATATAATTCCTCTTCCTTCTCTCACTCCTATGACTTTAAGGAGGACATTTCGTAGTAATGTGGATCATTCTCCTGATTGCTTTGATATTTCACATGACATTGCTCAATTTGTCTCATACTCTTACATATCACTTGTATACGTAACATTCATTGCATCTTTGGATACTTTCTCTATATTCAAGTGTAGTTAAGGAAGATCCAAAGTGTAAGGTTGCGATGCTGGAGGAACTTGATGCTCTCGATAAGAACAAGACGTGGGAGCTCCCATTTCTACCAATTGAAAAAAAGATAGTCAGGTGTAAAAGGATATTTGTAGTGAAGTAAACTCCAGAAGGAATGATTAATCACTACAAAACAGAGTTGACGGCGAAAGGGTATAGTCAGACGTATGACATCGACTATGATGAGACATTTGCACCAATGACAAAGATGAGCAGAATTAGAATATTCATCTCTCTGTATGTAAATAGTGAATGGATGTTACACCAACCAAATGTGAAGAATGCATTTCTTCATGAGGATTTGCTAGAGG